GAAGGTAATAGCGCATATCGATGCAGCCTCAGTTCTAACATCGTTTCTTGGCTGATGCTTCCTTGCACTTCTTGTACTTTTCTTAGCAGCCGAATGTGTTATACCACTGACTTCTGAACCTCCCGAGATTACATTAATAGTCCTGTCGTGCTTCGGTGGTGAAGCAGGTCTAAGGTTCTTTGGTGCTTTGTCCTCATTCCTCTCGTCGTAACGATTTCTTGCTTTGTCAGACAGAAATTCACGTTAAGTAACCTTTCTTTAGGAGCTCGTTTACCTCCATTCTCAAAGAGATGCAAGCTTCAGTTCGATRACCATGGTCCTTATGAAATTCACACCACTTCGTAGTGTCGCGTTGATTACCAGGCGTTTTCATCTTCTGAGKCCATCTTACTTCTTCACCCAATTGTTTCAACGCACCGACCAACTCTCCGTCGGAGATTGATAKGTTTGTTATGTCTGGCCACGTTGTAGRTTGTCGCTTCTCAYTGTCATTCCTGCTGAATGGTCGGTGATTACTTCTGYTGTCGCTTCTGCCACTACCGCTCTCATTACGAGGTCTCTGGTAAGGTTTATCATCTCTGGTAGACCTCTCATTCCTTGCCACTCGTGACTCGTTATGCGGGGACCGCTGGTAATGATAAACGGGATCTTCCTCCCACTTAATCTGCGCCCATGCTCTTGAGAGCACGTCTTCCATTGTCTTRCACTGATACTTGGTCAGTTCCTTGTACAGGTCGCCATCTGGGAGTAGACCTCTTTTGAAAGCAGAGATGGCGGTAGACGTGACGCAACTTGGGATGGACRCTTTTTCTTTGTTGAAACGTCCCACATAACTACGTAGTGACTCYCCTTTCCTCTGGATTACCTCATAAAGGTCATCAGCCGTTTTTACCAAGTTGCGGCTGCTTGCGAACTGTTCGACAAAACGATCGGTCAGTGAAGCRAAAGAATCTATCGAAGCGTTTGGTAGGTTCGTAAACCACTGAAGAGCTGGTCCAGTAAGACTTGAACCAAATCCCTTGCACATGCTGGCTTCTCTGTACTCTTTTGCAATTGCAGTTGTGTACATGCGCTGCTTRTACTGTGCAATRTGGTTGTCAGGATCTKTCGTCCCGTCKTACATTGTCAGCAAGGGAACYGCAAACTTTCTTGGYATCTCTACRAGYGCAATCTCGTCCGTGAACGGAGTGTCTGCGTAACAGTTGGGGGCGCTCTTTGTTATCGRTGGTGCTACACYGGGGAGTCGCTGGATCATCGCCTCTATATCCTCAAGACGTCTGAGGACTAGGTGTGGATCGTCTGTTGATCGGGTTGTCGTTGTCTCGCTAGGGTTAAGMAAARTTCGGRCGACGTGCGCCTGAACCGCATCTCTAGCCGCATCGCTGGCAGWTACACTAGGTCYTGTTGGAAGTCGCACCGTCCTTGTACCCACTGGAGGTGTAGTCACCGTCCTTGCATCGGCAGTTGGTGTAGTCCCCTCGAGTGACTGCATCGGATCGACGCGTCTCTGGTATCGGTTTCGAGCTTCGAGCTCGGTGTCTCTGCTTGCAGCAAGTAGAGACTCGTTTGTAGCGTTCTCTGCTTCGAGCAACGCTGCTCGTTCTTCGACCCGTTTCATCTGGGCGGTGAGTTCCGCCAGTTGAGCAGCAGGATCTTGAGTGTTGTTATCTCCTGTCGTAACCACGATATTGTCTTCGCCTGTCATATCTCACGTAGGTGAAGCTGCCCCCCTCTCTCTAGCGCCAAACTGTTTGTGCAAAATTTAGCCGGATCGAATAGAACACAGCACTACGGAATRACAGGAAGTTGTTGACTTTATTGATCAATGAGTTTCGATAAGAATTACAAAGAATCAATAAAAAATCGCAAGGCGTGTCGGTCGCTCGTTGTTCTTGTCGCTCGTTGTTGAGAAGCGGCAAGAGTCTAGGGTTTATTGCGTGTGTGTTGTGATCCCCCCTCTTGGTGTTGGGACTCTCGTATATATAGTTTTTTTGYAAACCCTAGTCCTTATTGGACTGGACCTGTCTTTCGTCGGTCCATAGTAGGACGTTATGTCGGTCCTTAAGTCGGTTTAGGGACGTCATGTCGATCCTTAACATATTTCCTCTAGAAATATGTTAATTCAGTGGCATTGCTAAACCATTGGTTAARTTGGTGTTAAGGCCGTCGGTCAGTTGCTAATCTATAAACCAGATGTCGTCGCTGGTTAAGACTGTTTGTCAGTGGTCATTAGTTATGTCGAATGCAATGACGTGGTCAGTGGTCATGGACTGCCAAAAGCTCTTTGAAGCGAAGAAATAGAAGCGACTGGCGARRCATGTCTCTAAAATGCTCAGCATCTGTCTTATGAACTGCGTTATAGTAGTGTCTAGCTGAGTGAATTTATTACACCCAACAGGGAGTTCCATGTCAAACCATTCCATAGTACTCATTTCCTCTGTAGAAAAAGAAAACAGAAATCATATTATAACCAAATGATTCTAGAGACAAACCAAACCAGTTCATTCAAAGATCCTGACCTGTGTGAATGGAAACTACCCGGGCATTGTATGGCTCATCATTGTTCCTCTCCCATCCTCTAGGAAGCACCGTCTCTCTTTTCGGCATAAATAACCGCTCTCTTCTATTAACTTTCCCACGATTGCTAAGATGAAGTGCTAGGTCTCTTAGGACATCGTGTTGCGTCACAAATATATCATAGTAGCTAGTGTACTGAGCACCAAGCCTGCAGAATTATCCATAGTAATTAGTTAAGAACAGTTCAAAACCTTTGAAACCGTGGAAGTGGCTACAAGAAGAGATGAGATCATAAAGAATTCTATAACCGTACCTTGGATCTTTCACGAGAGTAAGGAGATTCTTGTTTGATAAATCAACAAGAAGAGTAAAAGCAGTTTCCTCATCGAGATCATGTAGCTCAACCCACATGTTGATGATAACATCAAGAGGGATCTTCTTATCTTCAGGGAAAGCACCCATATCCAAGAAACATTCTCTGGTTTGCTTCGATTTGAGCAATCACTCGCCTCTCATGAGTTTCATCAGCAGGTTCACCTCTTGATAACTTCTTCACTACACCTTCCCAATATTTCTCAGTTTGATTTTTCAATGAAGCATCGACAACTTTCAGAGCTAAAGGTAAACCTTTACATTCCTTAACAACCTACCAAAACAGAGTCAATCAATATGAGTGTTGGAAGCAAAAAACAATTGCACTGTTTATGCATCAGTAGTGGAAGACCCATTACCTGCTTGACCAAATCTTTATTGAAACCAGAAGGGACAGATTTGTGGTCGAAAGCAGAGAGACAAAACAGAGATGTTGCTTCATCTACATTTAGTAACTCCACATTATAAGTCCTTTTAGGATCTGCAAGTTTAGACCGTGAGACCACAAGAGTAGTGGTTCCAGGGATTTTAAACATAAGCTGGTCCAGAGATTCCCTTGTCCAAACATCATCAAGGATCACTAGCTTCTTCTGTGTTTGACCAATGGATTCCCGAAGAATGGCACCAAAGCCAGCATCATATGATCCAGTAAGAAATCTCAATAGACGGGCTCCCAACTCCTCAAGATTGGGAGATTGTGACACCGTCAAAAACAAAACCCGGTTCCCAAAATGGCCTGCAACCTCAGCACTACGCCACTGTGTTGGATCTCGTATATGATCGGTTGAATATCTCCGATCATGGTGACGAGATTTCCGGCGTCGCCTCTACACCTTAAGGCTTTCCCAGATAATGCAGTGAGCTTCTTCAAGAGCTCTGCCAAAGCTACGTCGCCGATAACTTGTGCCATGTGAAGGCCGGCCGATCAGAGAGAGTGAGAGTGAGAATTGTTATAGTGGAGAAGGAGAAAAAATGTGGAACGAAGGTTCCTCGCAACATCATGGTGGATGATTATTCAATTGTTCAAGCTTCTGGTGGTGCCAAGTCTTCGGAATCCACTGTTTTGAATGAGTATTATTTGAATTCTTCTGCAGATCCGGGAAACGTTATTTGTTCCATTCTTCTCAATGGATCTAATTATGAGAGATGGGCTAAATTGATGCGCAATTCTCTAAAAGCTAAAAACAAGCTTGGTTTTATTTATGGCAAGGTAGTGAAACCACGCGCATCTGATGATGATAAGAGCTAGCTTTGGGGTATTGTTAATTCTATGTTGGTTGCTTGGATACTGAATACGATTGACCCAAAGCTTCGTAGCTCTGTTTCGTGTACAGATACGGCGTATGCGTGTCGGAAACGAAGCACGCATCTATGAACCCGAGGCTGAAGTTGCGGCTTGTAAGCAAGATGGTCAGTCGGTTCAGGATTATTTTGGTCGACTAAAATTGATGTGGGATGATTTAGAGGATTACGATCTCATCTCTGATTGTTGTTGTGGTTCTCATGATTGTGAAAACAAAAAGAGATTTTTGCTAAGCGTCAACGCTCTCAAAAATC